CTCTTAGGCATTGAGGTACCTATTTTCTAGTACCTTTTTCAATCCACCCTCACAACTTCTTACTTGCTGGCCAGCCTTCTGAGGGTGATCTCTCAGGGTCTCCTTTCTTTCCCAATCTTGGTGGAACCTCCACTTGTGGCTGCTCTTGACCACCACTAAGTCTGAGTGTCGGGCGAAAGCCTGGAGATTTGGATGAACCACAAGATGCCTGGTCCACTTTTTGAGAGAATGTCTCTCACCTTTATTGTGACTCGCCTTATATATAAACTTACAAAAACCCCAGGTCAAAGGGTTCACAACAGATTATTGATCCAAGTGGGGTGAGGTCAGGAAAACAGGAGGTACCTGTGGTTATGCTGGAAAACAACTCTTAAAGACCCGGTGGGAGCTGGATCCCAACAGTAAAGCAATGGTGCATGCATTGAATCAAGCTTTGTCTGACCCTCACAGCAAGATTCCTTTAAAATCATTTACTTAAGGAATGTTTGTTGAATACTCCCTGTGTCTGGCAGTGCTCTGGGAGTCACTTAGCATAACAGCTCTAGACAAAACAGAGGATTAGCCTCACCTCATATACTTTTATTGTAGTGGCCAGGCCAATCAATAAGTCTTTAAAGCCTATGATTTAATCTAATCTCATTAATTTTTTTTAAAACAGGACTTCCCTATGAAACCCAGAATGACTTTAAACATTGGTTCAGTCCACCCCAGACCCCAGAGTGGTGGGATTGCATCTAAAGTTTATTGTTTTTGAAGATGATAAATTATGGAGAAAACATCCAGACTGGAGCTAGTGCACCAGAGGCGCAGTTTAAAGGGTGGGCCAGGCAAGGGCTTGCCATGGAAAAGGTGGGGTTTGGCAAAGATCTGAAGAGAAGGCGTTGGGCTGCAGGAGCCTAGGGCAGTAGGTACAAGAGACAGCAACAGACCTGGGAGGCTAGGGAGCTAGCAAAGATGGTTGCTTTTCAGCTTTGCCCTATGATCTGTATGTTAATAATTCAGGCTCCCCATAATAAATCCAGGTTTTCAAACTCTCTGAAAACAACATTTAGACTAGATCACAGCTCTTCCCCTGTAATGGGCCCTACATCTCCCACTAAACAGGCCTCTCTACATCCCTGGCTTCTTGTGTTAGAGTCACCACCAGTTATTTCCTTATTTAGTTGCTGATCAAGCCATTCTGCCTATGTAGGAGAGGCTAGGATGTGTTCTACATGCCTTGGTGGTTTAATTTAGCAAATTTACTTCTACTCATACAAAACCAGGAGCAGGTGGATTTTCAGGCCACTCTCCTCCATGCAGAGACTCCAGGATGCAGGTTATTTCTAGCCTGCAGCTCTACCATTTCTACTTGTGTACTAGAAGGGAAAGCCAGAACTTGGGAAAAAGCACTTTGACCCCTACATGCTTGACCTTGGACATGATGGCTCGCATCACTTCTGTTGGCCTTTTATTGGCAGAACTAGTCACAAGGCCTTGCCTGTCTGCAAGAGTTCTAGTACAGTATATGTATAGTCTTCCTCTGCATTCAAAAGGATAAAGAATGGGATAGAAATGAGTTACTTCAGCCTCTCACCTGCCTTTCTGTAGGTCTCAGAAGAGCCACCTGGGTATGTCTCTATGCATGCTGTCATGGAGAAACCTCCCAGAGAGCTGAGCTGCCCAGCATGCTCAGTAATTATATCCAGGGGATCAGACAGCCTCCATTTCACGGTGTATCTACCACTGCTAATAAGTTTCTCAGTCCATCTAAACCTGTTTTCTTCATCTTTAATTTGAAGACAAGTCTACCCATCACACAGGGTTAATATGAGGATTAGAAGGTATTATGCATACAAAGGATTTTGGAGGTTACTTGGTAAGCTCTTGATACACATCCATTGTCCTCAACAAATAGCCTCATCATTATGAGATAGATGCTTTTAAACTTTACATTATTAAACTTTGCAAAAACAGTGCAAAGATTCCCAGATGGCTTTCTTTTCTTTCTTTTTTGTTTCATTTTTGTTTTTTGAAACTGGGTTTCTCTATGTAGCCCTGATATTAATCTCACTGAATGAGAGTAAAGACTTTCACACAATTTCTTTTAATTGAATTAAGCAAGCTTTATTTTTCTGTCAGAGAGGTCTGTGTCCCTAAAGCAGGGTTTGAAACAACAGCAGTGAACACAGAAGACAGTGGGTTTTATATAGTTTTAAAAAGAGCTGCAAGAGTAGGGTGTTTCCAGGGGTTGGGGATTTTTTGTTGTTGTTGTTATGTAGGAAATGGGCTGAACATTTCAAAAGCTTTTGACCAGACATCTTATCAGGGTGGAGGTCAGGGTGGAGGGTGTGAAACATGTCAAATTCCAAAAAAATTGGCCAAGACCTGGTCAAATTTAAGTTTTGCAGAAAACAGGAATGAACTTATTTTGACCTTGTAATCAAATGGCTTCTAATCTTAAAACGGAGTCAGGCTGGTCCATCACTCACTGTCCAAAACTCACTCTATAGAATAGGCCAACCTCATACTCAGAGATCTCTTGCCTCTGCCTCTTGAGTGCTGGGATTAAACCCAACTTCCATATAGCGTTCTTAAATTCCCAAAATTTTAATATTTTACCACATTTACATAAAAAATTCTGATTCTTTTCTGCCAGGAGGTGGTGGCACATGCCTTTAATCCCAGTACTCTGGAGGCAGAGCCAGGCAGATCTCTATGAGTTCTAAGTCAGCCTGGACTATAGAACTAGTTCCAGGACAGCTAGAAGTACACAGGGAAACCCTGTTTTAAAAAGAAAAGAAAAGAAAACAAAATTCTGATTTTATATATATATATATATATATATATGTGTGTAGTTTTTCTGAAATATTTAAGCATACATGGGACAGACACGCTGGCCTTTACCTCTACATACTACTGTGTTTCTTCTCCAAAAATAAGGACTTTCTTTTATACAACCATAGTATAACTCAAAACACTAACAATGAAACCATGTATTATCTAATCTGCAGAGCTTATTCAAATTTAGCCAAAATTGCTCACCAATATCCCTTATAGTGTCTAGAATCTGATATAATCTATGGTATGACACATTTAGTTGTAACATTTCTTTAAATCCCTTTAATTTGATGCAATTTCTCCTTGTTGCCTTTTGTGATCTTAGCATTTTAAAATTACATTTATTTGTTCAAGTGTGTGTGTGTGTGTGTGTGTGTGTGTGTGTGTGTGTGTGTAAAGGGGTAAGTATATGCCATGACTCAAGTATGGAGCTGAAAGGCTGACTTATAGAAACTGGTTCTTTCTCTCCTTCCACCAGGTGGGTCCCAGAAATGGAACTTAGGTCATCAAACTTGACAAGTCAAACCCACAGAAGGACCTCACTGAAGCCCTTCATGGTTTTTTCTAAGAGTAGACACCTGTTGCTTTGTATAATGTTTCCATTTGATGAGTCTGTTGTTTCTTCATGGTTAGATTCAAGCTATGCAATTTTGTCAGACATATCTCAGGTGTGATGCTGTACCCTTCTACAATCTTAGTGTCAAGAAGCTATATGATGTTTGTCCCATTAATGCTGAGGTCTCCTTCAACCACTTGTTTAAAGTGACATTGGTCAGATGGTTCCACTATAAAATTACCGTTTTGATCTTTCTTTTTTGTTTGTTTTGTTTTGTTGTTTTTTGAAACAGGGTTTCTCTTCATAGCCTTAGCTCCTAGCTGTACTAGAACTCACTCTATAAACCAGGCTGACCTTGAACTCACAGAGACCTGCCTGCCTTTGTCTCCTGAGTGCTGGGATTAAAGGCATGTGCCACCACTGCCTGGCAATGTTGATCTTTCTAATCAGCATCATATTTGCCTCGAACTGACCAGGTAGATCAGACTGGCCTTGAACTCTCCTGGCAATCTTCTTGCCCTGCCTCCCAAATGCCAGTTAATTTTAGCTTTCATTGATGAGCCTTTCCTGAAGCAATTAAAACCATGACCACAGCCAAATGATAATTTCCCAAAGCCATTATTCCTTCCTCGTGTATTTATAAGTACTCATTAATATTAATGTATCTTGAGCCTCTTGATGGAATAGGCCTTCTGGTGTGGGACCAGGAAACTTGCCCTTAACATAAAGATCAAGGAGGAAAGTTGAACAATGAAAGGACATGTCAATATCAGAAGACTTGTGGAATGGACACTATTATTCCTAGAGAAACTGATAGTATAATTTCTATCATGAATGAATATGGTCACCATCACCACTCACACTTTCCAAATTGGTAAATTAGGGTAATGCAGGAAGAGACAGGTTTGCATACCTTTCAAAATTATCCAAATAAACCATGCTTTCTAAGACTCAGTACCCTGTAGTCACACTAAGAAAGAGGCAGTTTTATTCTGTCTTCAGAAAGCATGGCCACGAGTGGGAAATCACAGAGAGACGGGGCTGAGAGAAGTCTGACGTCTGACTTTGACAGGACAGGCAAACCAGGTGAGAATCCTGTGATGCTATGCAAATCACGGTAAAAGTCTGAAAGGAGAACCATCCAGCATTGTCTTTCCACCCCCCCCATGTAGTTTTGAGTATAAAATTATTTGGGTTAATATTAGTGTGCTGTCTGGGACTGGAGAGATGGCTCAGCAGTTAAGAGCACCGACTGCTCTTCCAGAGGTCCTGAGTTCAATTCCCAGCAACCACATGGTGGCTCACAACCATCCATTATGAGATCTGATGCCCTCTTCTGGTGTGCAGATATACATGGAAGCAGAATGTTGTATACATAATAAATAAATAAAATCTTTTAAAAAATATTACTGTGCTGTCTAGTTTTATGTCAACTTGACACAAGCTAAAGTTATCTGAGAAGAGGGGACTGCAACTAAGAAAATGCCTCCAGATCAGGCTGTACACAAGCCTGTAGGACATTTTCTTAGTTAGTGATTGATTGGAGAGGGCCCAGTCTATTGTGGGTTGGGCCATCCCTGGGCTGGTGGTCCTGTGTTCTATAAGAAAGCAGGCTAAGGGCCGTCCTTCGGGAGGGCACCCGTGGCTGTGGGGAAATGCAGTTACCAATATATTGACTCCAGAAGAAAGAAGGCTAACAATGGAAAACACTGGGAAAGTTACCAGAAAGCTGTCATCATCAGTGCCAGCCTCAGTGGATGTCACAGATTCTGACTAGTTCGTGGCTTTATTGAGGATCCAATGCCTAACAGAAGACCAAAGTTCACAGGCTAAAAAAATTTCCTAAAGAAGAAAGATCATAAGCACCATGATGGACTCAGAAACACATGATAAGAGGTCCCCAATGTTGACCTCTTCAAACCAGGATTTGTCTCCTCATATTGCAAACGTGGGGGAGATAAAGCATTACTTCTGTGGCTGCTGCGCAGCGTTCAACAATTTGGCGATCACATACCCAGTTCACAAGATCCTCTTTCGGCAGCAGCTGTATGGCATCAAAACCACGGATGCAATACTCCAGTTGAGGAGGGATGGGTTTCGAAACCTGGATCGTGGGATCCTGCCCCCACTGATGCAGAAGTCAACCACACTGGCACTCATGTTTGGTTTGTATGAGGATCTGTCACGTCTGCTCTGTAAGCATGCGAGCACTGCTCCGGGGTTTGCCACCAGAAGCGTGGCAGCAGTACTTGCTGGGACAACAGAAGCCATTCTCACTCCGTCTGAAAGAGTTCAGACTTTGCTGCAGGACCATAAGCATCATGATAAATTCACAAACACATTCCAGGCTTTCTGGGCCCTGAGATGCCATGGAATTGCAGAGTATTACCGAGGCTTGGTACTTATCCTTTTCCGGAATGGATTCAACAACGTCTTTTTTTTTTTTTTTTTTTTTTTTTTTTTTTTTTTTTTTTTTGGCCTTCGAGGGCCAATTAAGGAGCATCTGCCTACCGCCACTATGAATGGTGCGCATTTGGTCAATGACTTTATCTGTGGACGTGTGCTGGGTGCCATGCTGGGGTTCTTAAGCTTCCCGATTAATGTTGTGAAAGCCCGAATACAATCTCAGGTTGGTGGGCCATTCCAGTCTCTCCCCATGGTCTTCAAGACAATCTGGTTAGAACGGGACAGGAATCTGATCAATCTTTTCAGAGGCGCCCATCTCAATTACCATCTCTCTCTCATCTCCTGAGGAATAATCAATTCAACTTACGAGTTTTTGTTGAAGATTGTATGATGAGGTCACCACATGAAATGTTATTCTCTACCAACTAGACCTAAAGAGAATGCAATTTGGCTTTGCTCCTAATTGGCTTAAATACAGGTTGGTGTCATTAAGTCCAGGCCATAATAAATTACAGACAAAACATTGACAAAAACAATAAAAGGTTTCCATGGCAAAAAAAGAAAGAAAGAAAGAAAGAAAGAAAGCAGGCTAAACAAGAAGGGGAAGCAAGCCAGTAAGAAGCTCCCCTCCATGGCCTCTGCATCAATCCCTGCCTCCAAGTTCCTGTCCTGACTTCCTTCAATGATGTACAGTGATATGGAGTGTCCCGCGCGATCGTCTCACCAGCAAGAACGACACAGGACACTCGGATCCTTCTGCAGTAAAGCTTTAATGCATCTTGAGAGACAGATGATCAGCTTCCGAATAGGGAGACCCCGAGCCAAGAATCCCGTCCCCTTATAAAGGCTCATAAGCTCCGAGCAGTGCGTGTACAGCTGGGATAGGTGGAGGACTCATCACCCTATATGACGCAAGATTAGGCAAGTAGAAAAATACTTTGCACATGCGCACCAACATTGTTTACTTGATCCGGCAGTGGATGTCAGCGCCATCTTGTAATGGCGAATGTAATGGCCCAATGGAGGAGTAAGCCAAATAATCTCTTCCCTATCCAACTTGCTTTTTGGTCATGGTATTTCATCACAGCAATAGAAACCCTAGCTAAGACAATTAGTAACAAGTAAATGGCTCAGAATACATGACATATTTTAATGGGATACCTAACTGGAGCTACATTTTTGAGCACCAGCAATATGTCCAGTCCTATAAAGTAAGGGAAATCCTCCCTATGGGCTCTGAGATATTTGTCTAAGGCCTTTCCCCAAGGGGGGGAAAAAAACACTTCACATGGTCATTCATTCTCCCAGGAAGTACTACAGCCAAACACATCAGAATGGACAAGGCTTGCTGATCTGATTCTAACAACAGAGGCTGAGAGCCCATTCTGTCCACTCCATCTGTCACTGAGAGGAACCATGACCAGGTTCTGGTGTGTTGCACTCAGCTTTACTTCTTGGGTGGCTATTTGTCAAAATCTCTCTTCTCTTCCAGAATCCATTTGTCTTTCCCTTCTTCCTTAATCTTGCAGTTCCTGATTTATAATCATAGGCCACAGCCACAAGTGTTACATGTTAGATAAATCAGCCGAGGTCAGGCAAGACAGTTCAGCTGCTGCAGTTCGCCTGCTGCAGCCAAGCCTAACAGCTTGAGTTCTATGCTTTGGACTCATGTAAAGATGGAAAGAGAAAACTGATTCCCACAAGTTCTCCGACCTATACATGTACACTGAAGTATGGACACACAGACACACACAAACATGGAAACTCACACATAAACACCCGAAGACATGGACACACACACTGATGCACACACACAGATACATGCACACACATGGGCATACACAAACATTGGGACACACACGCACACACTGATACACACACAGAGATACACACACACACACACACACACACACACACACATGCACACGCACACAGACACAATGTAAAAAGGTCTAGTTTCTTGGACCTAATGTTTAAGCATTTGGCTGATAACTCCTCAGGAGCTGTTTCACTTGGTTTTAAAACTGCTTGGCCTGGGATGCCATGCACCCATACCACAGGCTCCACTGGGTATCACAAAGTCAGTTCATGCTAACTCAGGCTTGCATATTTTTACTGGAAAAAGGCATTCACATGAAGGATTAGTTGTTCCAAGTATCTATTGACATTTTAGTTGTCTAAAATACCCTGATAAGAACCTGTTTGTTATTTATTTAAAATTCTCACTCCCGTGATACCATAATATAAAGGTTCAGTGAATACCAAATGAAGATCTCTGTGAACTTTTACTATTTTGTTATTTATTTAAATTAAGACCATATATCTCTAACTGTATGAAAGATTATTTGGGAAACTACCAATCCTGAATCAGGGATTCTTACTCAGCTGGACTTTAGAACAATAACTAACATTATATGTAAAATCTAGTTCTGTATTTTCCAGACTCAAACTAAGAAACTTCATTTTAATCTTCAAGCCAATCTTTCCTTATGTATTGCAAAGCTGTCTCCCTTGCCCCCATGCATTAAGTGCTAGAACTGTTTTTAACGTGTTAGTTATTATCATGGTACCTATGGACCTTATCAAAGTGGTTTATTTGACTTTACTTTATAGCTGCCATCTTAGTTAGGGTTTCTATTGCTGTGATAAAACACCATGACCAAAAGCAAGTTGAGGAGCAAAGAGTTTATTTGGCTTACACTTTCACATCATTTACTGGCCTTCTTCCCCTGGCTTGCTCAGCCTGCTTTCTTATAGACCACCAGCCCAAGGATGGAACCACATGGGCTGGGCCTTCCCCCATCAATCACTAATTAAGAAAATGGCATACAGCAGGATCTTATAGAGGCATTTTCTCAATTGAGGCTCCCTCTTTTCAGATAACTCTAGTTTGTGTGCAAGTTTGTAGGGGACACCGTAATCACGCCTGCTAGGGGCTGGCTACAGATATGCCTGACCACACCTGCAAGGGCGTGGTCTTTATTAGATATATTTGTGTCAACTCGAAAGCATTTACTTGTGGTGATACTTTGTTTGTGATATAACAAAGCTTGCCTGGAGATCAGAATGCAAAGCTAGCCACAGCCATAGAAGCCAGGCAATGGTGGCACACATCTTTAATTCTGGCACTCAGGAGACAGAGGCAGATGGATCTCTGTGAGTTCAAGGTTACCCAAGGCTACATGAGAATGAATCAGTCTAAAAGAGAAGCAGCTCACACCTTTAATCCCAGCACTAGGGAGGTGGAGATCAGAGTGATATGGCTGGGTGGAGAGGGGAACATAAGATGGGAGGAGACAGGACCTTATTGCAGTCTGTAGTCACACTGAGGACATGATCCCCCCTTTTGGTCTGAGCCTTGGTAGAGGTAAGAACTTTTTAGTGGTTGGCTGCTTTGATTTTCTGATTTTCAGCTTGAACCCCAATATCTATCTCTGGGTTTTTATTATTTATGCTGCGTTTACTCCTATGCTCACGGCCTTCTCTGCCGCAATGTGGTCAACTAGCAAAGAAACGCCAGTTCCTTCTTCCTGTGCTTCTGTGGAGAGACTTCAAAAGTCATTTCCTGAAAAACTGAAGCTGGTGAGCCCTGGCAAGAAAGGACATGGTTATCCATAGATGTAGAAAATGATTGGCAGGGGAATGGGTTTAGGGGTATTAATGCCGAAATAAGGTACAGTTGTTTGGGGGCACCTCTTTCTTTCTAGCTTCTAAACAGTTTCTATGGCTTCAAGTCTTTGGCAAATGGAAGAAGCTAAGCTGGTAAGCAGTGAGGAGCATTCGCCTGGCCAGGGGAAGAATGACTATGTGATGCTGTCCCAGAAATGCCAGGCATAGGAAAATCCTGTGGCAAGCTGCTTGAAGGGGAATCCATAACAGAAGAGTAGAGCCATGCTTCGAGCACCCATGAGCCACAGTAGAAAGGACAGAATGAAAGACGCCCCCTCCTCTGTCATCCCTTCACAGAGATGGAAATTGTTAAATTTAGAGACTTGAACAGTCACTCAGCAATTTAGAATTTGCATTATTTTTGTTATTGGAAGCTGGTGCTATTTAATAAACGTCTATCATATTACATCTTGCTATGGATTATTAGTGATACATTGCTCTTTGCTAAATGTATCTTTTTAAAAAATCTCCAATTAGTGATTCTCCAAAAAGTGATTTGTGTAAGGAAAAAAAGTAATCATAAGGTTATGCAATTAAAAGAAAGTCAGGCTTGAAGTCAGGCTGTGCTCATCTGTGGAGCCCTGCTGGATGCTTCGAGTGTGCATTGAGTCCATGAATGGCAAACTGGGTGGGAGAGGATGGCTGGATGCTCTGGGTGCATACCTGTCCACAGGTAAAGAGTACAAAGAATGTGGAGTACATGAATAGAATGGGATACTCCTGGGGAATTAAAGCAATTAGGCACAAACACAGCCAGACAGGTTTTATATTGTGTCCTTTTCCAAGTTTGGCTTTTCCATAATTGTGCTGTTTGTCTCCTAAAAACACGAGAATACTGCAGAGCCAACTTTTTGGCTAAGGCCTGAAGTCTGAACCAAGCACATCCAGGAACAGCTTCCCTATTGCTGCAGACTCCTTGAGCTAGAACTAAAGACCCTCCCTAGTTGGTCTCAGAATAGCTTCCCAAAGGAAGACATGGAGGAACCAACAGTTACAGCAGCATTCTATTCTCAGTTGTCCTCTTCACACTCTCCTCCTGCAACTCCCAGCCCCTCCCCAGAGCCCAGTTGCACTCTGGGAGTGCTCCCTGACCACTGGCTTATCACAACCAACGCCAGGCTTGCTCCATCCTGTCGAAGCAAAGCACACAGACATAGCACTGTTACTTAGCATAGGAACTATTGTTTCTTAAATTTACAGAGGAGGAGGAGGAGCAAGCAAAGGATAGAGGAGTAGGGATGAAAGCACTGTGTGAATGGATAGGAAGAAATGTCCACAATGCATTTGGGTTTTTAAAAGGTAATTTGTCCAAAGCTCTATCTAGAACAAGATGATACCATTTTTCAGAAATAAAGAAAACAAAACAAAAACTCTGTGGTCATCGTAAGTCAGCTTCCCATGGGTTTGCTAAAGGTGCCACAGGTGGGGTTGTTTAACAAAGGTCCAAGACCCTGTCCTTGCTGGGTGGGCTGAATGTAAACACTGAACAGGTCTAGCTGGGGAAGAGGGGGAGGAGAAGAGGGGAGGGGGAGCAGGAGGAGAACTGGAGCCAATCCTAGGCCAGAGAAGCCGAGAAGGGGGCAGTTTACCTAAAGAGACCAGAAGCTATCAGAAGAGGAACTGCTCTTTTGGAGACGTTATCAGTGAAAGTCTCTGTGGGCTGTGGCATGGTCACCT